TGGAGGGTACGGAAAAAGTATGGCAATTTTTTTTTGGAAATTTCTAGATTTTAACAGTGGACAATCGAATTTCAACTATGCTATTGAGTGTTATTTTGAAGCGGTCCCATGTTTGATTGGTAGCCTATTGGAATACTTAAACACTCGAAAGGAAAAAAATACGATCTTTACTTCAAATTGTAAAAAATGTTTATATTAAAAAAGTGCTCTTCTACAATTTTTTGAGGCACATTCAAAGCRAAGACCAATTTCTCAATTATTATGGGCGATTTTACTGCCAAAATCGGCATWCCTCAATAACTACAACATTTCAAATCCGAGAATTTATGGTTTCGGTAACGTTAACGAAATCGGGGAAACTTTAATTAGTTACCCCTAAAGGAAAAMTCGCTTTCTGATAAACTCGTTTAAAAAAAAAACCAATAGCGACCACAGAATTGTCAAGGCGACAATTTTACTAAAGATGAAACAAGAAAAAGTGGCCCACTCTAACAGCGCTATAAGAACACAAGGATGACTACAAGAAGGACTTAAGCAAAAAACGTTTAGCATTAGCGAAACTGTAGAAATCCCAGAATATCAACTCAGACACAAAACTTGATGCACGAAAGAAGAACCATGGAGAAGGGCACGCCAGAATACTTGGAACTAAAAAAGAATATTAGAAAGAAAATACGAGAAGACACGAGAAACCACAACACGGAACTGGTACGAAACTCAATGGAGAACAACAAAAATGTGAAAGTTTTAAAAGCAAATAACTCAATCGGAATAACAAGGATTSACCAACGRTGAAATCTACAACGCCTAATAAAATGTGAAAAGCAGGAAATTGTCGAGATAATTGAACGTTTCAATGAATCTCTGTACTCTTCGTTATACCTTAGGCTCGGCACATTTCATATCCAGAAATAAAAGCATAATTTTTTACTCAGGCAGTGAGGACACATCCAGAAACAGCGTGACTAGAGAAGTCCATAACAGAGTACAGAACAGTCAGCGATAGGATCATGTTGGTCAGATTTACCTCCCGGCATGTGAATCTGTATATTGTACGTAAGTGTATGTATTGTACAAAGTAGTTTATATAAGTATGGAAAAAAAATTCTTGAAAAAATTGTTAATAACATAAGGAGACTCTGGGATTACATAAATAGTAAGCTGGGAAGAAATGCTAATAAGAATAGTAATGTTAAACAAATTACAGCTGCTGATGGTAGTTTAACAGACAATTCAAAAGACATTGCTAATATTATGAACAGCTTTTTCTGTAATATTGGTAAAAATCTTAGTAACAAGATTGATACCCCCAATAATAAACAACTGAAACTTCCACCAATGAATAATAAATCAATATTTTTAAAATCTATTGATAACCTTGAAATCTTAGACATCATTATAATATGAAGCTCAAAAATGGTGGTATTGACAGAATCAACACCAAAACTGTAAAAACAATATCTTGGTACATCACTGATCCTTTGAAATATATTTTTAACCTTTGTTTGGAGAACTCGATTTGGCCCAATGCATTACAAAAAGCTGAATTGATTCCTATTTTCAAATCTGGTAAAAATACTGATGTGTCTAACTATATCGTCTCAAACATAGCCAAAATAGTTGAGAAAATTATATATAAAAGGTTATATAAAGTCCTGATCAATGACGTTATTCTAGCCAGAAATCAATATGGTTTCGTAAAAGATAAAGGTACGAAAGATGCCCTAAGTTATTTAACTAGAAAATTGTATGATAATCTCGATAAAAGCAAACCTGTTGCTGTTGCTTTCATTGATCTTGCGAAGGCTTTTGATACAGTAGATCACAGTATCCTGCTGATGAAATTGTATCAGTATGGCATAAGGGGTCATGCACATAAGCTTATGGCTGATTATTTGAGAGATAGAAAGCAACAGGTTTCAACTTGGTTGACCTTAAATAGGTTGTCGCTAAACATAAGTGGAACAGTTTATATAGCCTTTGGAGACTATTACGATAGTGTTCCAAAGGATATGAATATTCAAATAAACAATAGTAGAATAAGTAGGGTTGAGTCTTGTAAGTATTTGGGTATAAATTTTTATTACAACTTAAGGTGGAGTGTACATATAGATTATATATTTTTTAAATACTAAATATTTGGTATATACAGTGTGTCCAGTATAAAATGATGTACATGGGGATATTGGCAACCGTTAGAGTTACAGGGTGGACCAAATGGGGAAAAAGTTGGGCAATCTAGTGCCTATAAATAATCTGTCATCAACTTCTTTGAACTCGGAATAGCAACGGATATATAGGGAAAATTAGAAAACAGACAACTACAAGTACGAATTGACAACACACTCTCCTTTTTTTTTCCCCTGAACAAGGGCTTCCTCAAGGATCCCCGCTCTCACCCTTTCTCTAGAATACATACTGCCATGACATACAATTACAACTTACCAGACAAAAATCAAATCGACAGAACGCCATATATATTACAATACGCTGACGACACGGCACTTATTGTACACGACAAAACTACTGAAAAAGCGACTGAAAGACTTCAAACACTAACAAACAACACAATGACATGGTTTTATCAATGGAGACTAACGCCAAACGCGACAAAAAATCAACTTCTGCTCACGAACCACAGGCTCAACGCTGACTCGCCCACAATAACTGCTGACGGAAAAATAACACAACCGAAAAACGACGTAAGGTACCTTGGGATTACAATCGACCACAAACTGAAATTCACTAAACACACACGAAACAGCAGAACAGAAATGATAAAAAGAACAAAACACTTTCGATCACTAACAAAAATATACAAAGCGATCTGCAGACCCCTCTTGGACTACGGACATACACTCATGGCCAACGGAATAGAAAGGACAAAACGATACGTACAAACAACAGAACAAATTGCACTAAGACTAATAACACGAATAAGACACCCCCAAAACCCACTGCACAACCCTTCCAACCAACTACTATGCGAACGCACAAACATGACAAGAATTTCGGAAAGACTAATACACTTACAGACAAAATGGACAACCAACCCCCACAACTGGACCATACTGGATCCCTTTTGCCACACAAGACCGACAAAACACTCCTGTTTTCGTTCCCCAACAGATACTTTACTAGAACGCCCACAAACGCAACTGAACTAAGGACTAAGATCTGTTTGTTTTGTAAGCCAAGAATTTGTATTTTTTTATAGCTGATTAATTTATACGAGTGTTAGGAATAGGAATTAATTTTAGAATAAGCTAAGGGGTTTGCCCACTTGAGATTTTTTTTAAATTTATTGAATTACTAATATAGCTATTAAAAGATAGGGGTTTATGGCAGCACCCATATCTCTTAGGGGTATAAAAAATAGATAACAACCTATTCTCAGACCTACTGAATATACATACAAAATTTCATCAAAATTGGTCAAGCCGTTTCGGAGGAGTATGGTAACTAAAACTGTGACACGAGAATTTTATAGATATAGAAGATATATATAGGGAATTTTTAGGCCCCTTAATTGCAACAAGTGTTACATTATCCGTTAATTCTGAGCATGTGTATTAGTAAAGAAATAACCGTTTACGTTATGAGAGGATAACGTGTTCCTTTATTTACGTTCGAGTAGCGGTAACGATAATAAGCATCACGTTAAAAAGCAGAACGACGGTGTTGACATATTTGACTAATTTCTAATATTATTAATAAAACAAATAAATAATAAAATCGGCTACAATAGTGTACCGTGAATGGCCGAGTATCAACCAATTTCTTCAGCATCCAACTTTTATTCACCTCGGAATAACTTTAAAGGCGGAACAGGAACAAACTAACTTCAAAATTACCGTCAACTTCACAAACAATGACAATAACAGACGGAAAACTCGCTCTTCCGACTCGCGGGGCTTAACCTCTTCTGCACCCGGTCGCTGCTGTCACTTCACTCCCCATGTCTGGTTCTCGTCGTCGCTTATATAGTTTCCTCCAGGTAACCCAGACGGTTCTCGAAATCTCCAGCCCAGGTGCGAAATTTCCCGCTTGTCAGTGTCATATTTGACAGTAATAGGGGCGCAAAGGGGGCTCCCATTTACTGAAATACCATGAATTTTGATCCCTCCATTTCAAACGTGAGTACCCCAGGCCATTTCCGTTACAATATACATTAGTCTAACTGCCTTCAATTCTAAAGAAATCTTTGTAAATTTAAATAAACTTTTTCATTGATTAGTTTACGTTTATTGCGTAATTACGGATTTTATGTGAAAATTGTTTGGGCAAATTTGAATGCCAAAGGGCAACACTACTAACATCGCAAGCACAGGTTCTAACTTCTAACCCATAACCTAACTATTTGATTTTGAATTTTTATTTAATATGTTCGGAATATGTTCCTTCTGAAATCTAAAATTGATAAGGCAATCTCGGGTCTCAATATTTTCTAAATTAAAAATAGCTCTTGGGTTTGCAACAACAGCTGGGTCATTAATGTCGTGTAAAATTAACCCTCTTATTGAGTTGTGATCCACATCTGCCATCCCTGGTCATTTCGGTGCAGAATGGCAGCTTCAATGTTTTCTTCCATATTAGCCACTTTTTGTGTAATAACACTACAAACTTAAACTAGCTTTGAAACTTTTCCAAACAAAACGAGATAAGAAAACAATAAAGTGAGGTTTATTTTATTAAGAGTGCAAAAAACGCGGTATCAAAAACTAATAACCACACTTATTATTATAACGTTATGTGCTTGAACACCTTATTTTCTGAACACTGCGCATGATCACAATAGCGATTAGTGTTTAAGGCCAACGTAATTTTAAAGGGCCTAAAAACTCTCTAATGTGAACACCGCAGAACACCGCAGATCACCTCTGAACACCATCATTTACTTATCTAATAAGAATGTTTTGTCGTGACACACCTACCTATAGCATTTTACAGTAGTGAATCCTCGAAAAGGGAAACTCAATTTGTGGAAAAATAAAACACAATTTCTGTGAAAATTAAGTAAAAACTGGTGTTTTTTTCTTTAATTTGAACGAGATCCTAATTAAACACACGAATACATCAATTCTCAATTTTCATTAATAATGAAGCAGAGATCCGTTTAACCGTTGATAACTGATTCAGTTAAGTTAACTTTTAATGTGCTTTGGGCCGCTGCAGAATCTGAAATGTAAGATATGTAAAATTTATCAAATTTACGCTGATACGCTGTTGCAGACTGCCGTCCACACTTGATATGCGACGGTCCTACGTTAATATATTCTGTTGCATGTCTGCACGGGACTTTATTGAACAATGCATATACACCATGATACAATGAATCCAAAGTAGGAGTGCCTCGATTTGCGTGACGTCATGTGGTACTCATTGCAATGTTGCCATACGTACGCACAATGTGGATTGGAAATTCGTCATGCTATTTTCCCGTGTGATGAATGTGATTAAATAGTCAAATAGTCTTTGTCATATTCCATCATTTTTTTTATATAAATCTTCGTTATCATTGCAAAATACTTTGCAGGGGGTTTGAAACAAAAAATAATTTATTATTAGGCCGGCAACTGTTGCAATTTATTTAATAGGGGATACAGTTGCCCGCCAACTGTCGCTTCAGATGCTCGTTTAACATAGAGCGTTATGGAACTATTCACGCAGGAATATTTCTCAGATACAGTTGCGGCAACTTAGGACTTCCGGGGCCCGATTTTCTATGGGCCTTTATCAATAACAACAGGAAAGATCTTAGGCTAAAAATTGGACTGACAGAAAACGGTAACGGCAAGTATATAAATCGCTTTTTGTAGCGCAAACGGCAACGTCAAGTTTATAAAACTATTAATTAAAAAAATACTTAAAAATAATAAACTTGACGTTTGCGTTCGCCGTTACCGTTTGCGTCCAAATTAAAGTATCGAAATACCTAACATCCATTTATAAACACGGCTGGCCGTTATCGTTTGCGTTCCGTGCCGCTCGATATGAACCGATTTTATTTCTTGTCGGTGAACGTTCGTAGAACGCCGTTGTACTGACGTAACAACCAATCCGAATTCAGTATTTGGTCGGAGCAAATCAGGTGATTTAAAAGATCTTAGGTTAAAAATTCGACTGACAGCAAACGGTAACGGTAAGTATATAAATGTCCTTTTGTAGCGCAAACGGCAATCTCAAGTTTATAAATGGGCCTTAAGAGCAGTAAGACTAAAGGAAGCATAGTTATCAGATATCCAATAAAGTACAGTCTTAGCTTAAAATGTACTCTTGCTGACAGTACATTACCGTACAAGAGACGATAGTCGAAATGAAGCACAATGTTAGTTTTCTATTATTTACCACGGAATATGTGGTTTGTTGTAACATTTATGAAATAGATGCCTATGAAACAATGGTTACGTCGAATCTACAACATGTTGAAAACATAAATGAAGAACACATTAACGTTGAATGAATAAACAAATTATCCATACGATACCAGAAACCAGAAAAGAAACCTGTAGTAAAATTAGGAAAAGGCAAGAAAAATTGAGTACAAACACATTAAATATGATGAAGTATAGAAGGGAAGTGTTGGACAAATATACAACAAACTATACCTCTCTAAGACAGCTAAATAAAGACATCTCTAAAGCTATCAGAAACGACATTAGAACATATAACATAGAAAAACACGATTGAAGAAAATAAAAGCATGAAGATACTCCGACGAAGACTAAATTTGGTCAAAAGAAACATCTGGAAGTTAGCGGATAAACATAGGAACATTGTCACGAGCAGGGAGGAATTGCTTATAGTAGTGACGGATTTCTATTCAGAGCTATATTCAAACCAAGCTGAACCACTAAATCAACAACAACTGCCAAAAGTCCAGAACGTGGGATCGGAAGATATCCCACAGATTATTATTGATGAGATTAAGTCAGCTGTAAAAAATATGAAGAATAACAAATCGGCTGGCGATGATGACGTAACAATTGAGTATATCAAGGAAGGAGGATCAACTTTGCTATATGTAATCCAAAAATTATTCAATGCCTGCCTAGTAAAGGGTACAACACCTTCTCAATGGACAAATGCCGTCATCATAATTATGCACAAGAAACGCGGTCACAGATCTGAGGAATTATCGACCAATAAGCCTACTGTCCCACGTATACAAGCTATTCATGGCAGTTATTACAAAGAGGCTCACCAACAAACTTCACAGCTACCAACCCTGTGAACAGGCTGGCTTTCGTTCTGGCTATAGTACTAACGATCACCTACAAGTGATAAAATCTCTAATAGAAAAGTGTGTCGAATACAACAAACCACTAGTGTTGATCCTTGCAGACTATGAAAAAGCGTTCGATACTGTCGACCAACATGAGATGCTCCTAGCCCTAGCAGATTGCCGTATGGACCACCGCTATATAGCACTCACAAAGAACATCTGCCACAGCCACTGCCACAGCCACTGCCACAGCTCATGTTAAACTTCATGCCGATACTGACAAATTTAATATAAATCGTGGAATTCGACAGCGATACTATCTCCCCTAGACTGTTTAATACATTACTTCAATACATGTGTAAAAGAATAAATTGGGATGATATGGGTATTAATGTCAACGGTGAAAACTTCAACCACCTCAGGTTCGCCAATGATATAGTTTTAATCTTAACCAATGTGTCCTGCCAGTGATGACGTATGGAGCCGAAACCCTAACACTAACTAAGAAATCGATTAATAAAATAAGAACAACATAAGTAACAATGGAAATATCGATGTTGGGGGTGTCACTTAGAGAAATGATACATAACACAGGTATACGGCGCAGGACAGGAGCTACGGATGCAGTAAAGAAAATATCTTCTTTAAAATGGAACTGGGCAGGTCACGTTGCGAGAACTAGAGACGATCGATGGACTAGAAACATTATCGAATGGAGACCACGATGTGAGGCCCATCGAAGTAGAGGACGACCATCGACGAGATGGACGGACGACTTAAGGAGAATCCGAACGAACTGGATGCAGGTCGGGCAGAATAGACATGAGTGGCACAGTTTGCGGGAGGCCCATGTTCAACAGTGGACGCTATAGTGAGCTGAAATGATGATGATGATGTGGTTTGTAGTCGCTAATAAAATTAAAATTTTAATACAAGTAAATCGAAACTACAGGATGTACGTAATTGACACGTTTTCGCTGTGATCTACTACATATTGTTTAGTTAGCGATTTTAGCTTTGCAAAATTTTGGGTAAGAACTGTACCAATCATCAACGTCATCATCATCCAGTCCTTATCCTGTCCACTGCTGAACGTGGGCCTCCCGTAACATTGCCCAATTTCTTTGGTCCTTTTCCGCCTGCATCCAATTTATCTCCACTCGTTTCAAGTCGTCCGTCCAAATAGCTGGTGCCCTCCCTCGATTCTGGTACGCTTCCTCTCTTGGTCTCGATTCAACATCCCCCTTGTCCGCCGCCCATCTGACATTCTTGCCACGTGGCCGGCCCAGTTCCACTTTAAGTGGTTTATCCTCGCCACGGCGTGGGTCACGTCAGAACGTTGCCTTATTATGTTGTTGGCAATCCGATCCTTCAATGACACTCCTAACATCACTCTCTCCATCTTCCTTTGTGCTATTTTTATTTTATTTCGAGATTGTTTTGTGACAACACACTGGTCAAAAACCTTCCGTTTCAGGCATATGGGTATATTGGATGTAAAGACGTGTTTCAGTCTTCCATAAGCAGCCCAAGTCAAACCAATTCTCCTGTTAAGTTCGTGTGTTTGGATTGGCTCTATTTCCTTTTATTTCATGACCCAGGTATTGATAAGAGGAGACCTGTTCTATTGGGGTATCGTTCAGCATAATGCAATTGCTCATTACAAGGTTGGTCATGTATTTAGTTTTAGACAAGTTCATTTCCAATACAATGTTAAGTTTCTCCAGCACTTTACACGCATCGTTTATTTTGTCGGTAATTAAGACTATGTCATCCGCAAATCGCATATGACTCAACTACTCTCCCTCAACATTGATACCCGACGAGTCTCAGTTGGTCCGTCTGCACACGGACTCCAGAAGGGTCATGAAAAGCTTTGGCGAGATCGTGTCTCCTTGTCTCACTCCTCTTCCTATTTGGAATCTGTTTATGTCGAAATGTGCTCTGACGTTAACTCTGGCTGTTTCATATATATGTTTTATCAGTGAGTGTAATTATATATATGTGCTCGATTCTGCATTCCATCAAGGCTCTCAGCATTTTGTCCTGATGGATGAATCAAATTCTTTCTTGTAGTCCACCAATATTGGGATCAGGGGTACACTCTATGGTTTTCTCGATCAATACTTTCATTACCAGAAGATGAACATTTGTTCCAAAGCCCTTTCGAAATCCCGCCCGCTCTCTTGGTTGGTAAAAGCCAAAGTTTAGGTCCTAAGCTATTGGTAATTACTTTGGTAAAGAGTTTATAGACATGAGATAGAAGACTGATCGGGCGGTAGTTGGTCCAGTCAGTCATGTCATCTTTTTTGTGTAGAACGATGATAACAGCATAGTGCCATAGCTCCGGGGTTATTCCTCTAAGCATGCATTCTGTGAATAGTCTCCTGAGAGCCTGTAGGACACATCTTCCGCCTGCCTTAATAGCCTCTATCACTAGTCCGTCGTCTCCTGGTGCTCTGTTGCCCTTCAATTGTCGTAGACCATTATCAATCTCAGATGTTGTTATATCAGGAACGTCTTCGGAGCCTTCGTTTTGCACATAGGGAATGGTTATGACGCGGTGTCCAGAGCGTCTATAGAGCTACCCACAGAACTCCTCCAGAATCAGTTGCATTTCCTCTTTATTAGTAGTGACTCTGCCCTTTGTATTCCTCAACATCATTATATTGTTTGAGCCTGGTCTCAGATTTTTCCTTAGTAGCTTCAGACTTTTTTGTTTTAATCACTGCCTGAATTTTTCTGGTGCCGTGCTGTCGTAGATCTTTTCTGATTGCTGAGGAAATAATTTTGTTGAGTTCTCTTAATTTGTTCGGATTTATGTTCTGTTCTGTTTTTATTTGTCGGCGTCTTTTGATTAGATTTTTAGTTTCTATTAGGGATGGTCGGTATTTAACGTAACCGCTAAAATAACAGTGTTCCAAACGAGTAACCTGAAACCGTAGTTACAGCTAGCCGATTTAACCAGTTTTTTTTTGAAACCGTCTCATAAAACGAAACAACGGAGCCCACTTCGAACACGGTCGAGCGATCTATCTAGCTGCAGCCGTTTGCCATTTTAAACCGTTGTTTTTGGAACCGTCTCATAAAACAGAAACAGTTGTGCGCACTTCGCATCAGCTGCAGCCGTTTGACGATTTAAAGATTGTTTTTGGAACCGTCTCATAAACCTGAAAGTGGTTCGCGTGAGCCCAGAACCGATGCGGCATCGTCGAGCGCTCTATCCAGTTTCAGTAACCATTTGTCAACGGAAAATATGTTGTAGGTAGTTGCGTGTTGCCTTGATGATTGTGTATCACTTTTCGTTGATAAGAATTACTGTTCAGTTCTCTAGGAACCAGCGAAAATTTGTTTAGTTGCTGCGATGATATAATTCAGCATTTTTAGTCTACAAGTATTTAGTTTTCTGACATTCTGTAATAACTCTTTAAAAAAGGGATTTCTCTCGAGAAACTTAGCTCGGGAGTTGTATGCCCATTACCAGCAAACTAAACAGAATGGGTACTTGCATATGAGCTATTTTCTTTTTTAGAATTTTTTATTTTAGAATATTTTATTTTAAGTAATTAATTAATTATGTTTTTAATAAAGGAAATCATTATATATCAACACGATTTCTACTATCATCATCATTATGCATTGTTAATGAAAAATTTAAAAAGTAACATGTTTCTTTTGGAACCGCATTTTGAAACCTATTACCAAGGTGAAACTGGAACGTTGTAACCCGTTACAGAAAAACAACCGTTTATCACACCTCTAGTTCCTATGCTGAGCTTTTCTGGGCCTGTCCTTCTCTTGTTGCAGTGTTGTTCTTGGGCATTCTTTAGTGCATGGATTAAATTTCCGTTCATTTTATTTATATAGTGTTCGCCGGTGATGTCTCCATCCAGCAGGTCTTTCCTAATCTGTTCCTGGTATGCGTCCCTATCTCTTATCTCGGTCCATTTTCTGTTGTAAGTTTTGCACAATATTTTGCGCTGCTCATTCTTTTTGTTTACGCACAACTTGGCTCTTACTAGCCTGCGGTCACTTCCCACTTAAAAGCTGTTGAGGACGGAAACGTCCCTGATGTCTCTTCTGTCCGTAATTATGCAGTCAATCTCGTTTCTGGTTGCACCGTCGGGGCTCATCCATGTCCATTTTCTTTGGGGAAACTTCTTGAAAAAAGGAGTTCAATGCGTACATGTTATGCTGTAAGAAAAATTCCAAGCGCATTGTGCCTCTTTCATTTCTCTCGCCGAAGCCATGACCTCCTCCTTTCGAGACCTCCGTATCGTTGTCCCAGTTTCGCATTGAAACCTCCCCTCAGAATTTCTGAACCGACACTTAAAACAAGTAAACAATCCACAGTAAACTCCCCAACTACCAAACGCAAAATAGTTGTTTGGTTACATAATTACCAAACACGTTCATAGTTTTACACGATTTCACGAATAACAATCTGGCCACTCAACAATAATACAGTCAACTAAATTGCTGAAAATCAGAGATTTTGTAAACACTTCTTCAAGGTATTTTTATTCGCAATCGCAAGCTTAAATACCGTTTACTGTAGATTAAAAACAACTGAGTTTTAAAAATCAATGGAAATCTGCGTAGGTTACATGCATTTTAAATGGAATCAGCTGTGCACTTTACCAAAGTGAGTACCATGTGACGTCATGCGCACGAAAATCGAATTCTGGACGGTTGAGTCTTCTACCTTGTCTTCATTATATCATGAATATGCACTATCTTTCCAAAATATCGGAACAACCAACGGATAGAGCCAATCTGTCAGAATTGGTTGCAAAGGAAACCCTCATACTTGAAAATTTCCATTTAAGGCGGTTTTCTCATATTAGATCGCGATATTAGAAAAAACCTAACCTACATATCTATAATTCTGAATAGATCGACAGATTCGGTTATGAAATATTAGCAAAAAAGAATACATAGAGACTCAATATGCAGGGTTTTCCTCAACGGTGACAAAATTCGCTGAAATATTGTTCAGGCAAATTTGTCTAGTTCGAAAGTTAACAATTGGCGATTTTTTAGATCCATGAAAGAAAATTTCCAATTACTTAGCTTGTAGTTCCTGGAGGGCGCCAGCTGCAATAGTCCGAAGCCATTTAAAACCACAGCACTTTTTCGGATTTTCAAATATCAAATATCAAATATAAGAAATTATTTAACGCCTACATTGATTTTATTGAAAATGCCCCGAGATTTCAATGATTTTCGAATGAAGAAATGCGTGACATGGTCTGTGTTATGCGCAAGCAAATCAAGCACATCGTCGATATTTACTTATAACCTAACAGACGGCAAAACTTTTTTCAGCGTCGAAGTCGGGACAAAAACGAAAATAAATTTCTTCCGTTTCTGCCCGAAGATCATTAAAATTTTCTCAAAACCGATCGCAAAACTGGAAGGTTTTAATCAAAAGTGGAAAAACCGGTACTTTTTTATGCTTTTCTTCTTTTCTTACAATTCATGGGGTCTTTTCAGCAAAAAATTACAAAATTAATTTTGTTAGAAAATTCGCCTCATCCATCGCTATTCAGAAAACTCGTTTCGGCTTCGAATTTGGCACAAAATCCAAATAACTGTATTTAGTGGATACTAAGTGGATTTTATGGAAACACGACCAGGGAGCAAGTCTACAAAAATTATTTGGAAAATTCGCCACCCTCATAGTTCTAAATATTTTTTTAAGTTTCTTTAAAATTTCAGGTATTTCTGGTTTCAACAGGGTTTCTCTTAAGGAATTCCTTCTATGCAGAAAATGCATTATTTTCCAAAGTTTTACTTAAGACATTTTTTCTTACAATCTTCAGGTATTTTCTGTAAAAAATTTAATTTTATTGAAACACTCGCCTCCTTAACTGCTTTCTAAACTTTTTCGAAAACCTTTTGCAGCTTCGAATTTTGTACAAAACCCTAATCATTTTTTTCTGGTTTCTTTTTCCGAAAATATTTTCCCGGACAGAGCAAGCAAAACTATAATTAATTATTTAGAAAACTCGTTACCTTCGATGTGAATGATTTGGTTTCCTTTAAATTCCAGTTTCTTCACTTTTAGGGCAATATTTTCTAAGCAAAAGTCAAAACAGAAAAACGCGTTTTTTGCTAACGTTTTACTGCAAAATACTGCCAAACTGAGAGTCTCTTATGCAAAAAATTAAGAGATCGATATTACAAGAAAACTCGTTTAGAGTTTCGTCGAGACGTCGTCCTTAGAGTTTGGTCTTCTTTATCTTCTTTTGGTATCTTTTCCTAATACGGGTATTAGGAAAAGAACGGGTTTCACCTTTGAATTCGGGACAAAATCGAAACAAAGCTCTATTGGTTTTTTCGAAAAAAAAAAAACTTTTTGGTACACATTTTTTGTTTGATATATACACATACATATAACATAAAATATATAAAAATATCGTAGAACCAAATCTGGCAAATAAAAAAGCGATATTTTAAAACTCAAAACATATCTGATGTTTTAAATGACTTCGGACTATTGCAGCTAGCGTCCTCTAGGATCTACAAGCAAGGTAATAGGAAATTTGGATTTGTCGATCTAAAAAATTTCCAAACACAAATTTTTGGAAGTAGCAAAACTGGTTAAAAATCTATGGAGAAAGAACACCTTGTATCTCGGAATCTATTACCTTTCGGCTAAGACACATTGGCCTGAAACGCAATATTTTGGCCTAAGCAATATGTAAGTGAATTTTGTGATTTGATGATTAGTTGAGGACCATCCTATATAGTAACCCAATAAGCTGTAACGGGCCTAATGATGATCCCATAAGTGCAGCAGAGCTTATGCAACAAACCCGAAAAATTATTTTCTCTTATAGGATCCAGTCCTGGGGGAAAATCTTTAAAAAGTTAATCCGACTCATGTTAATGAAAAACACTGTTGCCTGTATTCGTTTTTTTGCAAATACTTCAGAATTTACAGCCAGTGTTATAGATGGTTACTCACCACTATGATGATTACGCTTGTGGTTTGCCATAGGAGTGAATTGAGTAAAAGTACGACCGCATATATCACAACTGAAAGACAGAAATTAAACACATATTATGGTAGTTTTTCAACAGAATTTACTTACGAATAAGGCCGTTCGCCAGTGTGCATACGTCTATGACATTTGAGGGCATCGCGCCGGGCAAATGCTTTGCCGCACATCTCACATACAAATGATTTTTCACCCGTATGCATTGTCAAGTGGATCCGCAAATCAACTCTCGCCATGAATCCTTTGCCACACACCTGGAAAATGTCTGCATTAGATACAAATAAATGCCTGCATATTCTGTGTTGTTTGCTTAGGTTGGAACAGACCGGAATCACTAAAATACGAGGGTCGTTTGATAAACCAGTGACGTTTTGAATTGCCCGCGCAGTAACTTTAAGTTCAACACTACTCCCATCAATTGTCGTCTGTTAGTAGACAGCTGTGAAATTTTGAGCACGTTACGCCATTGAAAGGATATGACTGTCAATTTCGACAAAAATGGGAAAAAGGGAATTTCCATTGCTGATCAAGCATTATTTTTTACGTAAAAACCATCAAAGAAACGAAGGAAAAGCTGATACTATGGGTACTCTACACCATAAATTTCAATGGTTAAGTACCAGCACAAATGACGCAGAACGTTCAGGTCGTCCAAAAGAGGTTGTTACGCCAGAAATGCTTGATTAAATCCATGAAACGATACTGGACGATCGGAGAATAAAAGTGCGTGAGGTATAAAAGGTTGAGTGAGTGGGGAGCGAGTAGATACTCATCTATATTCCCAATAGATGATAGATCTATTTCAGGGACGCGCCCCTGCCCACGCAAGCCTTGGCATATCTTCCAAGACCATGCGGGGGAAACCATGGTCCTCTCCCACATTTTTCCTTCCCAAAATCCTCGATCTCGCCAACCTGCAGTAGGATAGCGTGGCGTAGTACATCCTAAAACCCCTTAGATACGGCGAATTTGAAACAGAAGTGACATGTACCCCAGGTGGGTAGTAACAATAGCTTCAAATCCCACATCTTCAAAAAGAGAGATCAGCCTTATGGAATCTGGGGGAGGCAAAAATTCGCACTCTAAAAAGAACAACATTATTATAGCAATATACAACTGTCGGACACTCTTCCTGTCAACTCTTCGATCTAAAAAACGAACTCGGAAAAATTAAATGGGACATCACTGGACTCAGTAAAACCAGAAGGCATGGAGAAAACCTGTTAACACTTCAATCGGGAAAAACCTTTTAATTGTATGGACACGAAAGCGAAAGTCAAGGAGGAGTAGGTTTCCTAATACACACAAGAATGATCAAATACATTCAAATTCAAATTCCTTTATTCATGTTAAAAAGATATAACTTTTACATCCCGTGTGGGGTTGCTAGTCCCCCATCGAGGCGCCTCCCCAGGTGGCGGATAGAGGAATGCCTCCCAAATATGGGTGGTACCGGGGAGGACCAAAACTTGCACTGAACCGCGACAGCTGGCGGTATCAGTACTGACCACAAGCAGGGATTGATGATCTGTATCTGGTTGTGGATCCGACACTAAACGGCAGAGTGATAACCACAAAAAGGGGCTTAGACAGCGATGGAGAAAGCAACGATAAACTACTCAATTACTCTTCCCTAGTACAGTTTCCATGGCAGTACAACATAAAGATTAAACCACTACTGATCATGGGACTCGGATACCAAGATCCGGCAGGGGAGGATCACAATTAGACTGTCGGGCCTCCCAGGTCGTGAACATGCGAAAACCCGACAACATGAGA